CCAGGCCCTCTGCAATCCCTCAATCCCTCCAGCCAAGCACCTTCCATCCTTCCAGATCCTAACCCCATCCACTGTTTTCCCCAAAAGCAGACAAACCACGATGTTGTCCTGCTTGACCATTTCTCCCCAGGAAGAAAAACCTGTTAAAAAGCCAAAAATTCCACTGAACCTACAGGTCTGTGTCCCATCCAGGGTGAGACCCAGAGGTCACCTCTCCCTGGGCACCCTAAGATGGGTGCTCATGGTGGCAGACAACACCACAGCTGCAGAGGTTTTGGGACGAGGTTTCTCCTTTCTCCACAATGGAGCAGCATCATTCCTGGGGGCATGACGTGTGCCCTGGGGAGCACTTGCTGCACCAAGGAGAAATTGGAGCTGCCCCCAATTCCAATCTCCTTGTTGGATGCTCCTACACTGTGCTGGGAACATCCTGGGGAGGACACAGTCCTCCAAGCATGGGGTCTGTGGAGAGACAGTGATTTCAGGGCATGGGGGATGGCACCGAAAATACCATGCTCACCTCATGGCAGTGCGTGAAGCTCATGTTCACCCCAAGAAGAGCAAATAATTACTCCATGCTGTAGGAACAGGATGACCTGGGATGGATATGGGGGATAGGACCTCTGCACCCAGTCCCAGCACCAAATACTGCAGCAGCTTTGGGTCAGCAGCAAAAACAGGCTGAAACCATCAGCTGTCCTGTCCTGCATGATGTGCTGAGGAGCCTGGTGCTGCTGACCATCCATCCATCCATCCATCCATCCATCCATCCATCCATCCATCCATCATCCATCCATCCATCCATCCATCCATCCATCCATCCATCCATCATCCATCCATCCATCCATCCATCCATCCATCCATCCATCCATCATTCATCCATCCATCCATCCATCCATCCATCCATCCATCCATCCATCATCCATCCATCCATCCATCCATCCATCCATCCATCATTCATCCATCCATCATCCATCCATCCATCCATCCATCCATCCATCCATCCATCCATCATCCATCCATCCACAGGGATGGAGCCCAGAATGCCTTGATAGAGGGCAAAAAATTCTGATGTTTGGAAATGAAGCCAGCCTGGCTAGGCAGCCTGAGCCACCGGCTCCTCGCCGACACCGAACAGAAGTTGATTGTGATTCTTTTTTGTTTAAAAAGGTAACTCCTCTTTGGGCCGTCGGGCTGCGGCATTATCATAGTCATACAAATGCCCAACAAAGCATCTATTTAAAATGTCCTGAATTTTGATTACAGCCTGTCCCCTCTTGCTTGCCTGCTCGCTGTCTTTCTTTCTCATTCATTACTTACTCCCTGTGTTAAGCTCCCTGAAATTCAAATAAAATCCCACCTCCTCCCCCACATCCATATGTGACGGCCAATTCTGTGCCGATGGCCAGGCTTGACGGATGAAGGGCAACAGAAGAGAAGACAAAGCTGTCAAACCTCGCCTGGCTGTGTTGACTTCCCATTGCCCCCCAGCCGGAGGGGAGCCCGATCCATCTGGTTTGGAGTCAGCAGCACAAACAAAAGTAAAAGACAATGGCAGGAAGCACTTGAAAGTTCAAATTCTTGCTTTGGTTTCTCTTGGAACAACAGCACCTACGTAATGCGGCCAATGGACAATGACACATAGCCAGGGACAGGCAAAAATGCCAGAAGAATGTGCTTACACCAGCAAACCATCCAATATTTTTGTGTTATTGGAACAAAAATAGAAAAGGGAAAGAACAAGAGGGTAAAAAAATCAAGTCTTTGAAGTTCCTAGATTCCTTGGATGGGGTTTCTGTAAAGGAAAACTGCAAAGTGGGGTGGCCATGGGCCTTGGGAGGAGCCTGGCACGAGGGCAGCTGCTGCCCAGGGCGCTCGACCTGTGTCCTCAGCACATTTCCACTACCAGGGCCATCACATGTGGGGAACACAGAGGGGCTTTGCTGGGCTTGGCTCCAGGGGGGTGCCCAAATAAGGGTCTGTTGGAGACCCCAGCCCACCCCATTCACAGTAGGGAGAGGAGCCGCACACAGGAATGCTGCCTTCCTCCAGAAAAACCCGTTCTTGAGGTTGTGACTGGCCCAGCCCAGCTCTCTGGGGCCCTGGGACAAGGTGAAGGATGAGAAGCTGCAGGGCTGAGCTGAGCCATGTGAACCCAGCTCTGTGAAATCCCAACGCAGGTGCCAGGACAAGGTTTGGCAGCATTCCAAGTGCAAAGGGATGAGGCTGGGATTATTTCCACCCACAGGTGTAACCCCGTGTGCCCTGGGGAGCACAGCCACTGTGAGGTTTGGTGGCAGAGGCTGGTAGTCAATGTCACACACTGCCACACCTGGGGAGGGTAGTGGTGCTCACCCCACACTCCCAACAGATTTGGAGTCAGCAGCTGCCACAGAACCCTGGGTGAAGGAATTCCAGGACCACCAGTGGTTGTGACTGATGGTTTTGGCATAATCTCTTTTCTCCTGCTCAAATCCATCTGGGTCACTTGGTGCCAGTATTATCTACACTGGGCTGCTGCCTGGGTGGTTGCATGTCCCCAGGGCACCTGGGGACACCAGCTGTGTCTGTGCCAGGCACTGGCCCATGCTGGCACCAGATGGCACAGGGCTTGGCACATTGGAGTGGAGTTTGGCCAACCTGGAAAGGTCACACTGAGCCTTTTCTCCAGGTTTCGCCCCCCCCCCCCCACTGTGTTTGCAGGATGCCACTCCTTGCATCCCTGGGAACCCCCACCCAGAGCCAAACTGAGCACAGCACAAATTTCCCTGGGATTTAGGCATTTGCAGAGCTGGCAGAATCATTGATAAAGAGCCTCATCCGACACCCCAGCAGCGCCAGCGAGGGAGGCTTGCCTGCATGGTGCCTTCAAAGGCCCGGCCTCGGGCAGGGCCTGGCCGTGCAGGCCCGGGGCTGCCTCTGCCCTTCCCCTCTGCCCTGCCCCGGCCCGGAGCAGCCGGGTCCTGCTGGGAAAGCCTCCAGAGAGTGGCACAGCCCTGCTGGCCACTGCTCTGCTCTGAGCCGTGCCAGAGGACACAGATGCTTTTGCGGATGGAAGGGCCATGTTGACCCTCACCCTCTGCCCCTTCCTTGGGGCACTGAAGACATCACTCACTGACCCCATCCCCACAGCCTGAGGTGCTGGGGCCCAGGCTGGAATAAAAAAGCTGAGAATGTTCACAGGGAGCTGTGGGGTGCTTAGCCATACAGGCTGGGGCTGCAGCCCCAAAAATGCACCCCAAATCCCTCATCCCAGGATGGGCTGTGAGCTCTTCCCTCACTCCCTGGGGACAAGTAGCTTCTTTAGGAACATCTCAAACAGCACATGCCCATCCAGCACCAGGGTTTGGTCTGAGCCATCTCCCCTCTAGCAGCCTCTGAATGCTGGGATGGGGCAAACCATCCTGAGCCCAGGGGACTTCCTCCAGCCTGTGGGAAGGAGCCACACCTCCCTCCAAATCCAGCCCAGCCATCCCCTTCCAGGGGTGCATCCAAACCCAGAACAGCTGCAGGTTTGACACCAGAACAGACACCTGGGGTCCCAGGCACCCATCTCCCACAACAGCAAACACCCGGCACTACCAAAAACCACATGGAAAAGAACAAACAAAACAAACTTTTTTTTTTTTTTATAAAAAGATCAATGAAAAATTTATTTATAAATTTCGCACTCTGGGGCTACACGTCTATATCATACACTCAGGAATATGCTGTACTGTACAGACTTTATCCAGTTAGAAATGATCATATAGTGACCCACATACAGCTTCAATATAAGCCTAAAAATTCTTAACATTAATTAACATAATTAAAAAAGGTATTTGCATCTAAAGAAAAATCTACAGAAAAACTCCTTTCTGGAGCAATCTGTGCATCAGCTTCAATGTCTGCTTATTTCACTGACATTATCAATATATTCTTCTTACAAAAATAACAATAATAATTAAAAAGATGACTGCTGGAAGGCAACCAGTCATGCACAAAACAGCCTCCCCCACCTGCCTCTTTTTTTTTTTTTTCCTTGTACTCCCCGTTTTGGCGTGAAGGGTCAGCAGCACGATGAGCCAACAAGGGGGGTGGGGGGACCCTCATTTCAATTTGAATCAATCTGCATCCCTTTTACTTCTCAGGATCAAGAGAGACGGGGGTGTGGGGGTTGCATAGAAAATTGAAACTCTAGGGACTAGGAAGGGCAGCAGCTTTTCAGGAAAATACAAAGGGATGTAAAAATACATCAACTCACAATTTCAGAGCAAACCCCCTTCCCCGACGTACAGTTTCCCAAAAATCTCAGCGTGTCTAAAGCTCCAGGAGGCTGAAAAGGAACAATACTTTTCTTAAACAACTCACCCAGCAATTCACACAGGAGATTCACAGTCTTAATAGGTATTTTATAAAAATATAAATATGGGTTACATCATGTTGTCTTTACAACACTGGACAGAGCTCCCTTTAGACTGGGTTTATAACCAAGATTTCTTTTTAAAAATCCATCTAGAACTTGGCTTTACAATACACTTTTTAATATCATGTCATAAATGTTATGACATTTCATTGTGGCAAATCCATTTACGTAAAAAAAAAATAATGTGCAACCATCTGGTAACAACGATAAAACCTCACTAGGAAAGGTCCTGTTCCCACCCCATAACTATCGCACAGAAGCACCAGTGGAAGTTCTGGACACCCCCTTCCATGCTCACAGACAGACTTCGGCCAAGCAGTTCTTTGCAAATTACAGCAATAACAGTAGACACTTTTGACAGGGCTTTTTTTCTTCTTTAAATCTAGAGCTTTTAAAATCATCTCAAATTGTTGAAGTGGAAAAAGAACAAAAACAAATGAAAAACCCAACAAAACACAAACAACTGCAGGTGAAATTATCAGAGACAAAGCAGAATATTCAGTGCAATGGGAAATAATCAGGGCAGACCCTAGGGCTTTGTTTTTTTTTTTTTTAGTTTTAAGACCAGGAAAAGAAAAAATGAACAACAAAAAAAAAAAGGCATATATCCCAAACCATATTTTTGAAACACTCACCATCAGCTTCAAACAAAACCAGGCTCACAATCTTCACCCACAAATATATACAGACATGATAAATAGGTAAGACACAACCCCAATAAACCAGCAGGTAACTATTTTCTTTTCTCTTTTTTAATCAGAATGGTTTGGATGCAGGGAGCAAGAGAGGAAAAAGCAGGGAGATGGCAGTGATACGGATGGCTTTAGTGCAGACGAGAAGAGGGCTGAAAGACCAGCGGGAGAAAGGAGACTTCTGAACTTTTCCGCATTTTCCAAATGGATGTTCTTGTGCCATAGCAATAAAAAAAGCAGCATTTGCGATTATACGTGCAGTCACTTCAAAATGCGCCTTCGGGTGGCTTGCTCTGCTTTCTCCCTTTCCTTTATAAAGATATATATGGTGGGATATATATCTCCTATTAAAGGTGGGTGAGTGTACGTACGTCAAGTGAATCGTTCTGCATTGAGAAGTGTTATCCAAGTTTCACCAAAAGAAAAAATAAAGTTCCCAAACTCTTTTCAGTAGTTTTCCAGCATCTCTGTAGGCAGCAGAGAGCGCTCGCGCCCCTTTTCTGTGCAAAAGCAAATCCTCTGCCTCTAGAGTTTATTTCTTTTTTTTTTTTAAACAGTCCAGGATTTGCTAATCCCCCTTTACACACAAAACCACAAGGACTCAATGTCTTTTCCTGGGATCTCACGTGTGCTAAACAGATTCGTGGAGTGGGTGAGGATGCAGACTTTCTTCGGACACCCAATGAAGAACCAAAGCAGAAAACCCAACGCAAAATCAACCAAACCCAGAAGCAATCGGGGTGAGAAAACCACGTCTGTCATATTCCAACGGAGTCGCCTCGACAAAAAAAAAAGTCAGCGGTGGGAAAACCTTGGAGAGGAAGACTTTCCTGCTCCTCCTCGCCAGGAAGGCCGCGGCCGGCCGGGAGCCCCTGCCCATGGACGGGGCATCGGACCCGGGTCCGGGGCCGGCACCGGAGAGGGGACCCCAGCAGCAGTGGGGGTCTGCGGGGTGGCTTTTGGGGGGCGTTGAAATGAATTAGTTTCTGAGCCAGAACACTTTAAATGGGAGGGTCGGGAACAAGGAGGGCGGGGAGGGGGATTAAATATTAGCGGAGAGGGAACGGGGCGGGGGGTGTTAAAGCATCTGCCCAGATGTCAAACTGAAATCGTGAATACTGTGAGTGCAGCCGAGGTAGATGGAGGAAAAAACCCACGTTACAGTAGGAAACAACCTTGGAAGATTAAAACAAACAAACAAACAAACAAAAAACTTAAAAATGTGGCGTGTTCTGCGTGGGGCCCCAAATCTTCGCCAAACCCGCCCCGGGCGGGGGCGGGAGCAGCTCTGGCGGCCGGGGGAGCGGGGAGAGTCCCCGGCATGGCCGGGGGAACGCGGGGTGGGGGAGACCCGGCATCACCGGGCGAGCGGTCCTGGCATCAGCGGGCGAGCGCAGCGGGGGCAGTCCCGGCATCACCGTGCGCCGGCGGAGTATTTGGCCTTGGTGATCAGGTAGAGGACGATGTCCTGGTGGCCCCCGAAAGCGGCGATGTGCAGGGCGCTCCAGCCGTCGCGGTTGGCCAGGCGGATGTCGGCGCCGAACTTGACTAGGAGCTTGACGAGCTCGAGGTTACCGTCGATGACGGACTGGTGCAGCGCCGTCTGCCCCTCGGGCCCGAAGGAGTTGACGTTGAACTCGCAGTTCGTCATGTTCTGCAGCAGCGACTGCAGCTCCTTGGTGTTGCCGCGCCGCACCGCCTCCTGGAACACCCGCTGGCTGGGGGGCGGCGGCGGCGCCGCGCACGGCGACACCTCGCTCTGGCTCATGCCGCCGCCTCGGCCCCGCCGCCCCGCATGGACGGCGACGGCGGCGCCCGCCCGGGCATGCGGCGGCGGGCGGGCGGTGCTGCGGCCGCTGCCGGGGCTGGGCTGTGGTGCCGCCGCTGCCGCCGGGCCCGGGCCCCGCCGCTCTGCGCTCGCTCCTCCGCTGCCCGCGCCCCGCAGCTCTGCAGCGCCCCGGCCCGCGCGCGCCTTTTACCCGCCCTTTTATTTGCATAACAATGGCACGGCCTTGACGCGCCGCGGGGGCGGGGCCGAGAGCCGCGCGCCTACTGGCCCGAACGGGCGCGGGAGGCGCGGCAGAACGGGGAGGTCACGCCCCCTCCGCGGGGTGAGCGGGACGGGCGCGGGCGCTGCGAGGGAGGGAGGGGGCGATGGGGGGCGCTCCCGCCTTGGCTTTGCCCGGCCCCGCTCGGGGGCCGCGCTCCCGGCTCCGCTCGGCTCCGCTCTGTTCCGCTCTGTTCCGCTCGGCTCGGCTCGGCTCGGCTCGGCTCGGCTCGGGCCCCGCAGTCGGGATCCGCAAGAATGACGGTCACCAAGGGGCTGCGGCTACCCCCGATTTGGGGTGACACCGTGTTGCTGCGGGCTTGTGTCCCCGTGAGCCAACAGGGACGGGTCACAGAGCAGAACAGGGCGTTCAGCTCGCGGGGTCCAGCGCCTCTGCAGGCTCCCAGGGGGGGCTGCACCGGGTTTTAGGGACCCACGGGTGAGATTGATTTAAGGCGGAAAAGATGAAGCTGTACAGCCCTGTACAATCATGTACTGCCAGCCCTGGAGTGGCTCAATTCGCCTGCCCGGGGCTTCATCGGCCAGTCGATGACCATGTTCCTGGTGCGGGAGTTCTGGGAGCTGTGGACACCACAGGGAAGCGGAAAAACGGGGGAAAAAATCCCGAAAGCAGTGCATCAACCAAAAACGATGCTGAGGGGACCCTCCGGGGGGAGGGGGGGGCTCTCTTGGCCACCCCCACCCCAACCCTCCTCCTGTTCCCATTTGGTCCCTGGGAGCAAACGGCGAGTCCAGGTGGGAAGCGGCGCTCCCGGGCCAGCTCCCACCGCCTGCCGGGCATTTGGTCAGCAGGAGAGGGCGGGAGGTGCGGGGAGAGAGGAAGGAGCGTGTCATAAACCGAGGTGACAGCGGCCGCGCCGGGGCAGCTGGGTGGCAAGCTGCTGTCACCTGGCACTGCTGGCGTGTCCTTTTGGGAAGGGAAAGGGAGAAATCCGCCTACTGCTAAATTCAGCCCCAGCAGATGAAATGTGCCATCACGGAGTGTCTGTCGCACAGCTGGAGGATAGTGGCCTTGAGCTCCGAGTGTGACTTGCCCCACCGCCTGTTCCCGTGGCTTTTCCCAGCAGCTGGAGTAGTCTGGGAACACTCCTGCCCCATCTGGGTCCTTCTCATCCCACCTGGATTTAGGCTGTAAGGAGTTGTTGAAGCAGCTCCTCATTCTCCTCCCATAAGGGATCTGCTTTTCTAAGTCAATTTCTGCAGCTAGTTCTTCTCATCCCTATCCCCATTCCCATCTTCACATCCATCCCCATCTCCACTCCCATCTCCTCATCTCCATCCTGTCCTTGTCTCCACCCTCATCCTATGCCCATTTACACCCCCACCCCCATCACCACCCCCATCCCCATCCCCATCTCCATCCCCAGCCCCATTCAATCCCCATCCACCCATCCCCATCTCAATCCACATCCCCATCTCCTCACCCGTGCCCCTCTCATCCCAATCTCTATCCCAATTCCATCTGTCTGGTCTCTGTCTGACTGTTTGGCTTCCTCCGGCCAGAGCTGCCCCGGTCACACCTCTCTAATGTGAGTGTGTTGCGGTCCATCGTTCTCACGGAATAGGAGGGATTGGAATGTTACTGCTGCTGGGGGCTGCAGACCCCCCCCTCTGCTCTCCTGTGCCTGTGCAGCTTCTACCAGGATGTCCCTGCGCCGCTGGGGCCTCTGCAGCGCCAGCACAGGGCACTGAGATGGGCTCAGCGCTCGAAGCTTTGAGGGTCCGTGCAAGAGCCAGGTCTGGCCGTGGACACTGAATAGGCGTCCCCCCCGCCTCTGTCCCGTCCCCCGGAGGGCCCCGTGCCGGGCAGCAGGCGGTGGCTCTGTCCCCATCACCCCAGCCACGGTGTCAGCGGGAATCACCAGCGGCAATCCCTGCCCTGTCTCCTGTGTCAGCTCGCCGCGGCGAGCGGCGGGACGTGCCGTGACTCACGGTAACTCACGGCAGCTCCGGTGGTGCCCGGGGGCCGGCACAGCCCGGCAGCGCAAATAGCGTGCGGGTAGCGCCGGAGCCACAGCAGCCCGTGACCGTACCCGGACACTAATCCCAGCAAACCCATCACGACAAAGCTGGAAAAGGGAAGGGAGTGGGGTCGGGCGGCAGCTTTGACGGACGTAGGTGCGATGGCCTGGGTGTCGGGGCTCTGCTTTGCCTGGCTCGCCCTCTCCTATTTACTCCTAAATATCCTGGGACAGCTGATTTTGTGTCTTTACTGGCCGTATTCTGCGAGGTGTAGAGCCCTGTGAGCGAGCCGTGGGAGAGTGGGAATTGCTCACACCTCCCCGGTCTGGGGCTTGGCCAGAGTTACATCCTTGCAAGCAAATCTGCATTTGCCAGTGACATTGGTGAGAAAAAGAGCGCGGGCAGGGACCCAGCCATGCAAATGCTCGGGACCGGCAGGTGGGGGCAGGACTCGGTCTGGGAACGAGGCCAGAGAGGGATGGGAAAGAGCCAAAAAGCAAGGGGGGGGGGGGGGGGGGGGAGAGGGAAACGGGAAATAAAAAGATTTGAAAAGCTGCATTTCAGCTCGAGTTTGTACTCAGCTCTGTAACCGGAGAGGAACCGGGAGCGGTGTGACGGCCGGGCCAGGGCTCCCTGCACGGCTCCGCTGCCCGCCGGCTGCGAAGGGGCTGTCAGGGGCCGCGGCCGGCGCTGGGAGGCCCCTGCCCTCGCTTTATGGGGCCCTGCAAAAGCAGTAGTCCCACCCAGTGATTTACCCGCTCCCTTCTGAGGCGAGGGGAAGACGTGGCGGGAGGCGGGGAAGGGCCCGGAGCTGCGATGCCTTAAGCAAACGGTCACGCCGAGAGGTGCGGAACAAATTTCCCCTCCTCAGGAGACGTGACGGCCAAATTTCCCCGTGCCCGTGAGAGCCTGCGGGAGGGAGAAGGGCCGGCTGCCACCGGCATCGCCGGCGGGGCTCAGAGCCGCCTCGGGACTGGGCGCGCTGGGCTGGGCACGTCGCAGCCCTCTTCCAAAAAACCCCAGCGGGTCGTGCCCATCCTCCCGGCCAGCGAGAGTCCAGCCACCCCCCGAGGCCTCCTTGCAGGGAGCCGGAGAGCCGGGGGGACGGATCCGGGGCAGGCGGCGAGGGGGCGTGCCCCCACTTAATTCATTAAAATGTGTCGGAGAGCGTGGGAAAGACGGGAGCTTTTCTTCCCAGCGCAGAGCCGCAGCGAAAGGCGTGCGAGGGAGAGCGCCCTGCCCGCTCGGCTCCCCGGAGCCGGAGGAAGCGCGAAGGTTTCCTCCGCCGCTGGCCACGCCGCCGCTTCGCCTCCCGGCTCTTTGGCAGAGCGGCTGCCGGAGCCCCGATGGGGAAGCGCGGGGCTCGGCCGGTGCCGCCCGCCCCACCGCGGAGATGGGGCTGTAGGGATGCAGGGAGCCCACCCGGGGCTGTGGCTGCTGCGTGGGAACAGCCTCCGTTGTGCGGAGTCACCTCTGGGGACAGAAAGGGGATCCCTGTGGGGATGAGGTGGGGAAGGGGTCGAGGGGGGTCTCAGGAGGGGACACCCGTCCTCCATGTGGTCTGAAAGCTGCATAAGCAGGGGGGTGACCGTGGGATTGGCTTCATGCTTTCCCCATGGACACATCGCACACCAGGTGCCTTCGGTGGCACCCAGACTTTGCCTGTGTGGGCTGGGACCCTGCCAGCCCTGCAGGCAGAGCTCCTGAGGCCAGAGCTGGGGGTTTGCAAGGGAAACTTCATGCTCTTGCAGTGAAGATGTGTGGGTGCCCCGTGTCCTCTGCAGGGAGCACAGCACCACAAGAAAAGCTCTCACGAGTGGTTTGGAAAGTTCTGTAGACAAGGGTATCCTCCTGGGACTCCCACACCACAGGGGCCACTGCAGGAACATGGTCTGGGGACTGCCACTTCCCACGGATGTCACTGTAGATGCTGCTCTGCATGGTCCCTCCCAGCCTGTGACAAACAGGGTTTAAAACCTGAGTAAGATTCAAGCAGGGTCATAACACTACACGTAGTCATTGTCCTCTGGGACACCCCACAGGCAGAGGTGTCCCTGGGCTGGAGGATGTGATGCTGTGCTGTACAGTTTGGGTTATCTTACTGCAGCTTGGCCTTTAACCACTCCAGTGCCCCATCTTGTCAGTCCTTATCCTGCTGGAAATGCTGCAGCTCTTCTGAGGTAGCCTGTGGTCTCGGTGTCTGACAGCACAAAAGTGCTCCTGGAGCAAAAGGCCACCAGCTGGGACACAGTTGGAGCTGCAGAATTCCTGCCTGATGCCACAGACAGGGATCTCTGGCTACACCAGTGTCTCAAGGCTGCCAGGCCATGCCAAGGCAACGCCTTGACTGATGTCCCTGTGGCCACTGAGCACACATTCTCCAAACTACCATGGCTCCAACCTGTGTTCTGCTAAACTGACACCATCACATTTCCCTGACCTGGTGTGCTGGCAGCTGCTTGTGGGGCTTCTGGTCCTGGAAAACGGGCACCTGGAGGGATCATATCTTCACTTTGCAGGTGCTGATAGGGTTGGTTGGAGATATAGACCTTGGTTTTATGTGCCCTGGGCCAGCCTCCCTGCCTTTGGGCCATAATTATTTTGTCCTGGATCATCTGAATGAGCTCCAGGATTGAATCCAGTGTCAGTGCAGGGTTTTGGTGCTAGGAAATTGCCATCTCCTGAGACACATGGTTCTTGGGGCCACTTACCACAGAATCACAGACTGGTTTGGGTTG